CTTTGCCAAATGGGTTTTTTCTTCTTCTAATTTTCGTATTTTATCTTCTAACTGTTTAATATAATTCAAAGTGTCATCTGAAATGGCTAGAAGAAAACAAAAATAATAGAATCAATAACATTTTAGTAACAATTTAAAACTTGAGTTGGTCATGCTTAGTGGCTAAGACAGGAATGTATTTCTCCTTGTTTGATTTTGTAAGATTATTTGGTTAAAAAAAATAAAAAAATAAATGGAGCTAAGTAATTATAAATCCCCTATAAATGCGTCCCTTTTCAGGATGATCATACAGTCAGCATCTTCTAAGCCTCACCAACAGGGTTGTATAAAAAGCCTTATAAATTTCAGCATATTAGTTTCCCATCAAGCTTCAAGAAAATCAATTTAAAAAGCTAAGTTAATGATACTGAAATGGTTAGAAATCCTAACAAAAAAGTAATGGTCTGAAGAAACAATGCTAAAGAACTTACCTAATTGTCGATTCTGCTCTTCAGTTCCATCAATTGCTTGTTCGGTCTTCTCACTCCCAGTTATCGTTCCACTGCTACTGCCATCCCCATCATCACGGTGATCCTGATCAAAAAGATGCTCCTTACCCAGGTATAAACATAATTCCTGCAGTTCCAAATTATCCCGGATCAGCTCGTCTTGCTTTAGCTGAAAACCAATTTTATCAAAACAAAGCAAGTTATATTCTTCAAATATTTTTTTATTTTTTGTTATAGTGGAACACACCTATTCTATAGTTAATAGACTCTCCCACCTATAATAAGTAGGAGTAGTAGGACTCAGTCGGTCAGTCAGTCAGTCAATGTCGGACGACAGTTAGTCGAATACTAAAGTATCAGTGACCACAACTAGATTACTCTGTGTCATACCTATTATATCAAGTTCCTAACGTTTTGTACGTTGAACCTATTTTAGGACCAACTTAGTACAAATACAAGCCTCCACTGTAAAATCACTCCACAACATTTTTTAAGCAAGAAATATAAAATTCTGTTGCACCAATCTTGCCAGCTCATTTTTTTTTAAAGTTCACTCAATACTAGGTGTTATAAAGTTTGTATAACACTCTTAGATGAGGTAATGTAACTATTGATGCTATTTACATTATTCAAACTGTTGTTCTCATATTTATTGTCATATTCACAACGTTTCAGCCATTGTATGCTCAGGCCTTCGTCAGGTGATATATGTTAGAATTTTGATACATGTTGGAATTTTGAATCAAACTCTTTACTTAGGGTAGTTTGTTCTAGTTCCACATGCCATGCCTTTTCTGGATATCTCAGCTTCAGTCATTTCCCTTTAGTAACTCAACTCAAGTTTTTTCACCTCTGCTGTGGCCAGGTATTGAACTCACAACTCTTTGGGTTAAGTCACTTTTGGATTACTTTTGTGGCCTAGCATAATAGATAGAGAACATCACTTGAAATAATAAACAGAGAACATCACTGGAAAATACAAAAACTCAAAGAATCAGCACATATGCTAGGCCAGAAAAATCTAAGCTGGCCAAGCATAGACATGAATACAATATGCAAACTATTAATGCAGAGAGCTAGAGAAAAACAACAACAACAGAAATTGTAATATGAGCTCTGGCAAAAATTTTTTAAAAATGGTTAACAAGACATTAGGTTTATTAGTTCCAAATATTCACTGATGTCTCCAAGGAAACATGGCCTAGTGGATAAAAGCATTTGTTGAAGTAACCCAAAAGAAAAACTTGGAGAGTTGAGTTACTAAAGGGAAATAACTGAGATATCGAGAGCAATCTACTACCATGGACTTAATAAAGGATTTGGTTCGAAATTCCAATGGGGGGAGGTAGACAAACAGGTGGATTCATAATTTTCCCAAAGGTATTTGCATGTAAGTAAATATAACGAACCTGACTGAAATTGCTACCATTTGGAGCTACTCAATCTTCCCTTTCCAGGTTTGATAGAATACAATATCAATTATATGGCCTTTTGGGGGAGGGGAGTGACTTATTTCCAAAAATCATGAGGATTGGCACCTTACAGCTGATCTTACCTCTGATCTAGCTCTAACAGCTCAATAGGAATAAAAATGGCATCTAATTTTTAATACTTCAAAAATTTGTATTGTTTCCTTCATCATTGATCAGGCCAAAAATTTTCTCCAGTCATGATAAACATCTGCACTTAAAATATCATCATTTATTATCCTGGATCCAGATGTGCACACACATGAGCAATCCCTCAGCTACTGCAATGCACATTATAATCTCATTAGAAAGAATTTGAAAAAAGAATGTCTTATTAAATTGGAACATTTCCAAATGATAATCATAATATTAGCCATTACTTTATAAGGAAACTTTTGGTATTCATTGACCAAGCAGCCAATACTGTTTTCGGTTGAAATTTATAAAATCTTTCTCTTAAAACACCTTTTTTAGGCAAACAGGTTTCTCAAGTCCAGTAGATGTCAGTGCTCTTTCCACTATTGATGCGAGTTTCTTTCTGAACCTTCTATTTGAAGTGGTGTGGAATGTTAACATGTTGATTATATGTCATTATTTTCTCTTAGATTTACATGTGCTATCTATTTTAGTTGTTGCTGCTGTTGGTAGTCCTCGAGTGATATGGTTACTGTTATTTGGTACAGTTCTTTGTTTGTGTAGTGCCAGTTCACAATATTCAAAGAAAGATGATCTCTGTTAAGACCCGCAGACTTCACTTGCACAGTGTTTTTTCACCATTGATCTTAGGGAGTGGTTATATACAGCTGACAATTTAGATATTTCTGAATGGATTTGGTGTCATGCATGACATCCATATGAAAGTTTTGATCTGACGAGGCTATTTAAGAACATGACTTGAGTTTTCAGGTTGATGTTTTGGTTTTGTAGCAAGTTGTGGTGTTGAGGGAAACTATCTCTGGTACACACTATTCTATATTAAGTTTCTTTTTCTCCTATACTTAATTTATTAAAAAACAGATCCATATGACAAGGTATTTGAAGTGTTTACTCTTTTCACAGACTGTATTCAGGGTATGTGTCATTGCTGCTTTTTTTCTAACTCCAGATCATCGTGTGAGGTTTAAGTCATATGATCATAATTGTATATTAATAGGACTTTATATATGACTGAATACAGGTTCAAACAGGTTTCTAACTCCACAATTGATTAATGATGTTACTCAGTAGGATATATTACTTATCAAGATCAATCATTTCTCATCATTTTGAAGCAGAATAAATTTCCACTTTCATAATTTTATCTGATCAAAAGATTATCTCCTAAAATTGAAGCTCTTCCTTATCAATCAACCCTCATAATTTTGAAGAAAAATAAATTGACTTAATTTTGATACCAGTTCCATTATTCTCTCTGGTCTAAAACTTGTTTTATAAGATTGGAAACCTTACTTATCAATCCACCCTCGTAATTTTGAACAGAAATAAGTTTCCTTGATTTTGATACCAGTTTCATTATGGTATCTGGTCTAAAACCTGTTTTATTGGATTGGTAATTTTACTTATCAATCCACCCTCATAATTTTGAAGAGAAATAAATTGACTTAATTTTGATACCAGTTTCATTATTATGCCTAGTCTAAAACTTGTTTTTATAGATTTGAAGACCTTATCAATCAACCCTTGTAATTTTAAAGCAAAATAAATTTCCTTGATTTTGATACCAGTTTCATTATTCTATCTGGTCTAAAATGGATTGGAGACATTACTCATCAATTAACTGTCATTTGTACTTCTATGTGCCGTGCACCTCCTAGACATGGGCAATCTTGTCTCTCCAAAATTTCCTATCCTTTGTAGCTATCAGCAGTTATTCTTTGTTTGCTAAGGTTACCACTCTTCCACCCACTGTTCTGCCATCCAGTCACCCAAGCTCATCATAGCCTTGCCTGATCTCCCTTAACCTCAATATGCTCTGTGACGGTTATTTATCCAAGAAATTTGAACTGTCTCTCATTCTGAGCATGTGTTCTTTGTGTTGTCATTTTCTTTAAGACTTCCTTGTTGTTTACTTGCTCCATCCATAGAATACTCATTATCCTTCTGTAGAATTATTTAAGATGAAAACAAAGACTGGAGATGTAAAACTTATTGAGAAAACAGATATAAAATGATATTAAACATAATTTATGTTTAACCATCTCTGCAAGACACCACGAAAAGTTTTAAAAAATTAAGTTATGATTTTGTGATGACTACAGCAATTATATAAAACTTTTAATGCTTTTATAACATTGGGATTTTTTTTTTTTTCATCAGATCTTATGTAAACATCCAAAATTTTTCAGCTTTAAATAATCTAGAAAGGGTTGATAAGTCATAAAAAACAAATCAATCAATTAACAATATCATGTAAACTTATAAAATATCATGGCCTGAATTCAAACAACCTCAATTAAAGTAACCTTTTTAGTTTTCATATCAAAGATTGAAGGTTTACTTGAAATGAGATATATAAACAATGGAGAAACAGAATTCAGGGAGAAGTGAATTCATGCCTTTCCTAAAAGGCATTAACCCCTTTAGTATTCAACCGTACCAAACCCATCCCATAAATATTGGCTCTCAATGTTCAACCTGCCATAAACCCGCACTATGTATCAGTCAGTTATGCGCCATGCGTGACACATGCTTAGGCAATTTACATATCTTTCGATACATGACTGATGAAGCAGGTTTTTTTCCTATAGTAGGTTGCCCTTTCTTTTTGCAGTAGACCAGTTGCCATCTAAGGCTATAGAACCTGGTCTGTTCTGCTATTCACCCATAGCTGGGGAGAGGAGAAGAGGATTCATAGGGTATTAGCACATAAGGGAATGTTATGGATTCAACTAGAATTCAAACTCAGCTCCCCAATTCCTCAATCCAAGCCGTTATCCATTACTCCTCTGTGTCCCATGTATACTCTGTCATAATAGAAGATGACATCACTGCAAATAGCACAGGAAGTCAAGCAAACATTGAGAGTTGATATTTACAGGGCAGGTTTGAGCATGCTGAATGCTAAAGGGTTAATCTAGAAGATACATAAGTAATTTCAACTAGAATTCAGTTTTTAGTTTTCTTTTCTCTGTAAATAATGGTCATCCATTTTGTTTCTCCATTAAAAGAAAGTTTTGTATTTCTGAGAATCATGGAAAAATTCGAGTCTTTGAAGAGATAATTTCCTTTTAAAAGAGGTAAGAGTAGACAGGTTCACCTATGACCAGGTTCACACTCCAGCCTAATCTGTTAAATAGGAGTTGAGTTTTATCCCTTGTTTCCTGTTTAGGATTGGGTTTGCAGTTTTTTGGGTTTTTTTTAAATCGGTATCACCCCAAGAAAGATAGTAAAGCCACTAAGGCACAAAGGGTTACTTGGTGTGGAAGAATTAGGAGCAGAAGCATTAATAATGAGGGGATCGAACATAATGGATTTGTTTTCAGAATCCAGTTGGCGGACAAGACGTGACAACTCACTATGGCTGAACTGGTGGAACTAAGGAATTTCTTGGAAAGGTTACTGAATACAACATCTGAGAAAAGCTGAAGAGTATAGCAACTAAAATATTGTGATAAAAACAACAAAGACAAGGACACTTGTCTGAATGAATCAGAAATTCAGACAAAAGAAATATAAAAAATATTTTCAAACCTCAAGTTCTTTGAGCTTTTCCTGATACACTGAGACTTCACTACGCATTACACTTGCTGTGTAGCGTCCAAAACGCTGCCAGTCCTTTGCCATTTTTTTCCCATTCTGCCGTTCATCATCCAAGAAGCAGCAGAGGTCTCGAAGTTCTTGGTTGTCATCCTGGAGTTTCTGATTAACATTTTTCAAGCCTCGAATTTCCATAAGATGAATGTGTAATCTCCGATTTACCTCTTTCATCATGTTGTCATGATCGAACATAATGGATTTGTTTTCAGAATCCAGTTGGCGGACAAGACGTGACAACTCACTATGGCTTTTCTTACCCAGATCCTCATCACAAATTCTTTTTAATTGAACACCATTTGGTAATGAAGATGATGTCATAGTGGATGAAGAACACCAAACACGATGAACATATCTTTGGAGAGTTGCTATTTTGGGAAATAAAATTAAACAAAACAATAATTAATTTGTATTTCTGAAAAATGGCTTCACATTAAAAACAATGCAAACAAAATTAAATTCTAAAACTGCTTTGAAAATATCTTTCAAAATATAAAGTTGAAAATGAGTATGAAAATAAATGCAATACATGAATTAAAAATAATGGCGGACAATATAATAAAAATGAAAGTAAATAAAAATCAGCAATTAATAATAATGGCTGACAATGCTTCATCAAATAAAAAATGAAGATGAACTCTTCCTAACACTATGCATACTACACCTCTCAAGAGAGAGGGTTGAATCTAGTCAAGCCGATAGTAGTTCACTTCAAATCATACTGACAGTCATACTAACACCTTCCACATCTTGTATTATTATTTCGTTTAATATACCTTCGTTATTTCTACTCTTGTGTTCGTATTGTTCTTTCTTGGTCCTCACCTGAACCATAACACTTCTAATAAAAAATAATGAAAGCAAATACTAGTCAAAAATTAATAATAATGGCTGACAATGCTTCATCTAATAAAAAATGAAGATGAAAGTAAATACTAGTCAAAAATTAATAATGACTGACAATGCTTCATCTAATAAAAAAATGAAAGTAAATACTAGTCAAAAATTAATAAAAATGCTTAACTCATTTTTAACAACAATTATAGGACAAAGTACATTATTATTTCTATAATACTGCTTCTGTCCTATAATAATTGTTATACAAGATGCAGCAGAAAGACATTAGTGGCAATGGTGACTTCATGTAGCTAATGTCTTACCATTATGTCAGAAGTATTTCTGCTGCAACCTGTACTTGCTTCCATATTGCATACATTAAATGTATCAATTATTATGGAAGCACTATTGGTAGTACATTATTATAGAAAAGTACTTCTCTCCCACTAATAACACTGGTCAATACATATTTTGGTGCAATAATAGAAATACGCTTTCTTGGCTAATTTGAAGGCACTGATATAAAAAAAAATGACCATTTTTTTCATATTCATTACCATTTTCTCTGTCTCATTTTGGCAAAAAAAGTTTTCATTTTACCGAGTGATTTTGCGGTTTTCCAATTAGGAAATGAAAATCTAAAATCATAATCAACTCAATCTTAATTAATGAAAATTAATCTGATATCTCAATGATGAATGACAACCCTACAAAAAAATGCAATCCATTCATTGGATTTTACCATAACCTGACGATTTTTATAAGTAACAATGTGTACAGATATCTCAGTGCACATTGGGATTCGAACTATTAAAGGCAATTCATAATCGAAGTATTTATAGCCATAGCAGTTAAATGTCCATGCATGTATTCTTTTGTACATACCACATAATTATAAATAGGATCTATATAAGATAGGATTGGTGTTTTACATGAGTTTATTGAATTTAGTTGATGTGTAATGTGTCACGTTAAATATGAACTGAGGACAAACATAAAGTCTTCTTTTACTTTGTATCCAAATACAGTGTTATTATCACAATTTGTTTTATTTCTGAACCTTAATACCAATGCAATGACTTCAAGCAGAAGATGCAAAAATAATCCCGATTTCTTATGTCGTATATAGGGCGAGTTTACAAAAATGAATAACAGAAAACTGATCAATAATTTTGTCAGAAAAGCTTATCGTGCTTCCTTTGAAGTGAAATTGGGCGTTCAGGACAAATTGTGGGCACCATATATCATCGGCAAAATATGTCAGAAACATTTATGCCTGTGGACTAGAGGTAGTCGAATATCGCTTAAGTTTGGCATTCTGATGATCACAAAATCACATCGACGTCTGTTACTTCTGTTTAATTGACATTGCTGGCCTCAACAAGAAACGAAAATCTGTGAACTATCCTTCTCTCAATTCAGCTATCAGACCTGTACAACACTCTGAAATTAAATCCTTATTCCTGTCTGTGAAGGTTCCAACCAGTGACATTAAAGAATTGGACTGTGATGATGCGAATGATTTCATCATTATGGGCCGGAATAACAATGACAATGATTTTGAGGGATTATCATCTGAAGTGATACTGTTTGATTAAGAAGAGCTGAGCAACTTAATCAGGGATATCTGGGTGTTCAGGACAAATCGTGGCAAAATATGTCAGAAGCACTTACCCCAGAGCTCTAGGATTAGTCGAACTTCACTTAAATTTAGCATTCCGATGATCACAAAATCACATCGATGTCCGTTACTACTGTTTAATTGCTGGCCTCAAAAAGAAGAAATGAAAATCTGTGAACTATACTTCTCTCAATTCAGCTTTCAGACCTGTACAACACTCTGAAATTAAATCCCAATTTATGTCGTCAAAGACAGGAATCAAGACTTCATTGATGTCCAGTGACATTGAAGAATTGGACTAAGATTTCGTTGCTATGGGTGATAATGACAAGGACAATAATTTTGAGAGATTATCATCTGAACATATACTGAGAAGAGTTGAATGACTTAATCAGGGATTTGAGTTTATCAAAAGAATCAGCGAAACTCTTAGCTTCAAGACTGAAGGAGAAGAATCCCCTTAAAGAAGGAACAAAGGTTACGTTTTATCGCTACTTCAATCAAACCAATGAACATGTATATTGTGACGATGTTGAAAGTGTTTTCCTGTGTCATGGTGTTCAGGTCAATGATGCAAATTCATCATGGCAACTATTCATTGATAGATCAAAACTTAGTTTAAAATTTCTTTTGCTGCACAACACCAATGTATACACATCGATACCAATTGGACACTCCACAAAGCTGAAAGAAAGGCATGAACCCTTCAAGGATGTAATGGAAAGAATTTCATCATAACTAGGTGATCTGTGTTGATCTTAAAATGGTTAACTTTTTACTTGGGCAGCAATCAGGCTACCCAAAATACCCATACTTAACTTTCTTTTTGGGTCAGTAAAGCCAGAGTTGGGATTATTTTAGGATAAGAGAGATAATGAGTTAAATTCAATTATCAGATCTGATAACCAGAAACCAGAAATTGTTGATTGATTGTCTTATCTAAAAAAAAAAGACTATATGAGCATCACAGACGTAGATTGCATAAAAACACTACTGGCCTCAACAAGAAGAAACGAAAATCTGTGAACTATCCTTCTCTCAATTCAGCTATCAGATCTGTACCCCATCTTGATGAAATCCTGATTCCTTCTTCGAAAACTTTACGTCCAGTGACATTAAAGAAATGGACTGTGATGATGGGAATGATTTCATCGTTATGGGCCGGAATAACAATGACAACCATTTTGAGGGGTTATTGTCTGAACCGATACTGTTTAATCAAGAAGAGCTGAGTGACTTAATCAGGGATTTGAGTTTATCAAAAGAATCAGTGGAACTCTTAGCTTCAAGACTGAAGGATAAAAATCTCCTTAAAGAAGGAACAAAGGTTACATTTTATCAGGATAGAAATGCTGAATTTATCACCAACTTCAATCAAACCAATGAACTTGTATGTAGAATATTGGTTAGCTTTCCAGTGGTCTGACACACAAGTAGGCAAGTGTAGCCAAAGCTAAAAACTAACTTGAGTCATTTCATGGAGAAATATATGGGTGAATAAAGACCACTCATGCAAAATGTATTGGGCAGGTCCATTCTAGCAAAATGGACCAACCTAACTGGTATATTAGGCACTCTCCTATAAAATGAGGTAAAATCAGCTGGCTTGCTTTACAAGGAAACAGAGGGCATCTCGAGGTGGTGTAATGGTTAGCAAGCTTGTCTCGCTAGAAATATTACAACTGAGTAGTGAGTTCAATTCTCACTGGGTGCCTCATACTTTTGGCCTTGTGCCACATCTGAGCTACGCTTGGAAAATCTAGGGCACCTCTGCATGGTGTAATGGTTAGCAAGCTTGTCTCGCTAGATCAGTTACAACTGAAAAGTGAGTTCGATTCTCACAGGATGCCCCATACTTTCGGTCTTGTGCCACATCTAAGCTATGCTTGGAAAATAACTACAAGGAAACAGAGGGCACCTCGAGGTGGTGTAAGCAAGCTTGTCTCGCTAGAACAATTATGACTGAGTAGTGAGTTCGATCTTCACTGAGTGCCTCTTACTTTTGGCCTTGTGCCACATCCAAGCTACGCTTGGAAAAAAAAGGCACCTTGAGGTGGTGTAATGGTTAGAAAGCTTGTCTTGCTAGAACAATTATGACTGAATAGTGAGTTCGATCCTCACTGGGTGCTACATACTTTTGGTACGCTTGGAAAATCGCTACAAGGCAGCCATGTTGGCAAGTAAGTCACTTGACTTCTACATTGTATATTGTGACAATGCTGAAGAAATTTTGCTGCATCTTGGTATTCAGGACAATGATGCAAATTCATCATGGAGACTATTCATCGAGATCAAAACTTAGTTTAAAATTTGTTTTGTTGCACAACAATGTACACACATCAATACCAATTAGACACTCCACAAAATTGAAAGAAAGGCATGAACCCATCGAGGATGTAATGGAAAGAATTTCATCATAACTAGGTGATCTGTGTTGATCTTAAAATGGTTAACTTTTTACTTGGGCAGCAATCAGGCTACCCAAAATGCCCATACTTCCTTTCTTTTTAGGTCAGTAAAGCCAGAGTTGGGATTTTTTTAGGATAAGAAGGATAATGGGTTCACTTATCAGATCTGATGACCAGAAATCAGGAAGTGTTGCTTGTTTATCTTATCTAAAAAAAAAAAAGACTATATGATCATCACAGACATAGACTGCATAAAAAAACACTTTAAATGCATTGGTAGTTCACCATAAAACACCTGGCAACAATTTCTACTTAGAAAATGTGACTGGTCAGGAGAGGAAAGTATTCACTTAGAAGAAAATGCTGCGATAATGCGCTAATCTCACAGTTCTCAACAATAAACCTAAGCCTAGGGCCAGACATAATATCTATTACTGATCATCACTAAAGACCATAGTAGCACAATACGGCATACAAGCTAACAAAGAATAAAAAACAGATC